ACTCGGCCTATAGGGCTGACAGATGCGTGTATGAATAATAATAATAATAACAATAATAATAACAATAATAATAATAACAATATATATATATATATATATAGCCAAAACCTACTCGCCATAAAAATCGCAGAAATTGATATTCTACAACGGGATAGCGAATTTGATAAACTGTAATAAGACCAGGTCTCTCGTTATTTGGAGAAAATCAACTAGGCATCTAGTTGGGGTAGGGCTATAACTAGTGATTGCCTGCTTCGTCCTATCAGTATCAGGCACCGGTACCTAGCGAAGTAAACTTATAAGCCACCACATCGTATATATGTAAAAACAGCTACGGCAAGATGGTCCAGTGGTCTAAGGCTTCGTGTTGAATATCCTATGGTGGTAATGCCGTGTGATATGTGTCAGATGCAATGGCATACATCAAATAATTGATGACAGCAGCAACGTCAAAGCAAGCAATGAACGCACAGCCCAGCAACAAGGGATGGAATGATCCATCTATCATAATTGATCCCTTGCATATCTTTGTTTACTCGGCCTGTACTCCGTACAGAGTACTTACTCTACAGGTCTACTTTTTCGGATTAAGCTAGTCCCGAATTGTAACCCCTGCTTTTCTAGAGGCAGTTCCGAGGGATGCTGATTGGTTAGCCTTGATTAGCCACTTTAAACGGCGTCGTTAGGAACAGTCAAGTGGATATAGAAAATGGGCGTTAATTGGTCCGTACACTGGGCGGGTTCCATGCCTGCATTAGTGGCTTGGCAGTGGGGGGGTGGAATATTCCACAGCAACCACAGGTCTACGGAGTACTTGCTTGTACTATGTACTCTGTACACAGAACGAGTACTCAGCTATTATGTACAGATATACTTATTGAATATACAACACTTGACTACTTGTGTGTACAAGTGACGAGTACTTGTGCAAGTAATGATACTTGCACAAAGGCGATCAAAACAAGTAGCATGCATATGGAATAGACTGCAGATACCCGATTCGCTGCAACACCCCACCATCATGACCAATGACACGTCAAGTAATTCTCGTCATCGACACATGGCTGGTCCACGGACTTTTGCCCCTTTCACCGCCTGTATTAGTATGATGGACTGGTACTTTGCCTAGGAAACACACATGCGGTGTGTACAAGTAGTTGTTTATGCGCTGTTGTCTGTTGTTTATGTTGCTGTTGTTTGTACACCGTAAACTGTCTATTGCTGTACAAAAAAAAAAAAATCATAATTACATAATAGTTAGTTATAACTACTCTGTTTGTCTGAATACCTGATGCCTGAGTGCCTTTAGCATACCGGCCAGAATTGACCAATCAGGATCGGCGTATAACCTCATCGGATTATTTGCGGCTCCTGGCAGTCAAAAAAAAAAAAAAAAAAAAAAAAAAGTATCGGGTGGCCGTCCAGCCGGTCGGGATCTTTTCTCTTCTCGTCGTTCTTCTGTTTTCATCGCCATCTCCATCTCTCCCGTTACTCTCTTCCATATTCCCATCTTCTTCTCTCTTTCCCTATTCCTCTCCTGTATTATCCTAATTTCCTTCTCTTTCTATATTATTAGTATTATATTGGTTTATTATTGTGCTATTATTCTGTGTTATCCTGTTATTACTGCTGTTCTTGTATTGCTTTTTGTCGTTTAATTACTTCTATTCCTACTACCCTATTGCTGTATTACCATGCCTTATAATACTCGTCGCAAGTCCCTCTCTCTCCCCTCGCTGGGCATTCATCTTCCCAGTTCATCGCGCCGGTCTCCTTCGACTGAAAATCACCAGCAACTGCCTCCATCCAAAAAAGTCAAGAGGTCGCACGACTCCCTCTCACTCTCCCCCGAGCCTTCGTCGTCGTCCCAACAAAGCCCCGCTGTGCGCGCCGCCACCTGGGAGCACACGCCACCTCCTTCGCCCATGGACGATGGCCTTGCACCGCGGATCGACACCGAGGGCATCAACGACGATATTGTGGTCGGCGTCATTCACCAACTCGAGAAGACCGCCAACCGCCCGCATCTCGTTAAGGAACTCGCCGCTATTCTCTACACTCTCAACGATAATGTCGCAAAGTGAGTTTTTTTTTTTTTTTATTTTTTTATTTTTTTATTTTTTTTTTTAATTTTTAATTTATCTATAAATACTGACAGTATAGTTCCGCCAACCCCGCCGCTCTCCTCTCGTCGCGACTGAGCGCCTACATGAAGCGTTCCTGGTCCGCCCTGGCGCCTTGTCCTATCGCCAAGGAGCTTATTCCTGTTCATCCTCGAAAGGTCTATTACTATCTTACAACCATGCAGCGCCAGCCATTGCCCGAGAACTCGGACGATATCATGATTCCGTCGGGTATGGTTGGGAAACAGATGACCCCCAGTGTCACTAGTGTGGATCAGGATGATGAGGACATTTTTGCGCATCAACGGTCGCCTAGCCCAGAGGTCGACCTCTCCTCCCCCGACTTCGATGATGAACACATCAATTTGCACGGTCGTCCCGATGGTGCCGCCAGATCCGGCTCCGACTTCCACGCCCATATGCGTCTGATGCACTCTCACCGTGCCGCCTCACCACCGCTCGAGGGTGACGAGAAGGAATTCACGCAAACTGCCAGTGCCGTTCGCGAGCGGGCCTCCGAGCAAAAGGCAAACCAGGGACAGACCGGTGCGGCGCGTTCCGGTATCTCGGAAGGTCTCAGCCAGATGGATGGCATGAACGTTTCTACCTCAAACTCGCATCTCGATGACTCGCCATCTTCGTCGTTTAGCGGCGATCGTGTGTCTGATGATTTCGAGTATGGCGACTATTTCTCGCATTCGGGCGCCCTGGATCAGCAGTCCCCGGCACCCAAGCAACAAAAGGGCCAGGACGATGATGCCGCTTGTGCTTTCCTTGGTACCTCGCCTTCTCCATCTCTCACCTCGGTTGCATCCTCGCTTTCTTCGAGTGCCCCTTCGGATGCCGGCTTGGACACCGAGGACTGTCCCCAGATCGCCCTTCCCGAGGTTGCGCATGTGTCGCCTCTTAAACGGTCGATTGACATGCTCAACAGCGGTCTTCCCGATGTTGATATCAAGATGTCTGATCTGGCCGAGTCCGAGGATAAGGTGGCTATCAAGGCCAGACCCTCGTCGATTATGGACGTTGATACGGCCTTTGATTCGTGGAGAGAATTGCAGAGCCCTGAAACCGTCGAGGTTGATGAGCTCGATGAAATGTTTGGAGAGATCTAAGCGTTGCATTTTTTTTTTTTTTTTTTTTTTTTTTTCCTTTGAACCCAACTCGTCCGCTCACCACTAGAACATTCCGGTTCTTGTGGTTCTACTCATTCTCCGCTTATTACTATTGATTCTCTTATTTACCTGTTGTACATGTCTATATTTCTCTTCTCCATGGCCGGCTGGTTTAGTTGGCAAGATCCTCGATCTGTACATATACTCTTCTGCTTCGATTCTGGTGTTTGTGCCTGTTTTTGCCTGTTTGGTGGTTTTTCTATTTTTATTTTATTCTCCATTCTGGCAATGTGGAGGAACAAGTGATACCAAAAGACTGCGACTGCGAAAAGAAGGAAAAGATTTAGGAGGGCAAAAAAAAAAAACTATACATGATTATACGGAGTACTCTATACGTTGTATTGAACTTGCAAAAAAAAAAAAAAAAAAAAAAAAAAAAAAAAAAAAAAAAAACAAAAACAAAAGAGATAGATTCCAGGGCAGTTGCCCTATGCCTATTATGTTAATGTATCTGACTGATGAACCACTTTCTTTACTCTCTTGTAAACTGGATGTTCCTTGGATTCCCCTGTTGCCACCACTCGCATGACGCGTGGTTCCCGTAAGTTAGTTATGTGGTAGGAAGCTTACTCAACATCTCCGGTTCTCCATTAAACTTCTATTTCTGCCTTTTTTGCCTCTCTTCCTTTCGCGATTGTTCTTCATTCTTCATTTTCAATTTGTTTATATCGAATAGTAGTCCTGCTGGTCAGGATTCATCCCGTCTATTATTTTTTATTGCAATAATTCTTCTGCCGAACAATTACCCGAACGCTGCGATTCTCGGCTTTTTCTCGATAAGCACGACAGCCAACAGGCAACACTCGCCATTCCCTCTCTCTCTCTTACTTTAACTAGTCGCTTTTTCCTATCAACATATCAATTCAATTAAATGGAACCCCCCATAGTCTCCTTTCAAGGCAAAGAAAAGGACGCCTTCGTCCCATCGCGCAACCAAATGCCCCTCCAACAAGCAGACCTCGACACCACCATCCTCCCCACCTCCAACGTCCCCCCTCTCCCAGGAACCGCAGCCTCCTCGATTACCTTGCATCGGACAAATCCACCCCACAGACCGCAGATCACCTCCACGCATTCCGGCACCAAACAATTCTACAACAATGGCAAGGTTCCGATACCCCGCCAGCGCGCAACCATGGCCCCGCGGCATAGTCGAAGAGTTGCTAGGGCTTGTCAGTCGTGTCGGCAACGGAAGACGAAGTGTAGTGGGGATACGCCCGTGTGCAGGCAGTGTAAGGAGTTGAGGATTCAGTGCGATTATCCGGTTTCGTGGAGGGAGAAGACGAATCGGTATGTGGCAACTTTTTTTTGGTAAAATTTTGTTGGGGCTAACTGGATAGGAGACAGGCAATTAGAGGATTTATGCAGCAAAACGCGCGATTATGAAGAGTTGTTGAAGGATATTGAGCATATCGTTGATGGTTCGACGTCGGAGCGCATCAAAGAGGCATTAGACAAGGTTTGATTATACTACTTTTTCTTTTTCTTCCCCTATTTTTACAAGATACCTGACAATATACAGCATGTAGCAGAAGCTGACCGTTCACCCACTGAGCAACAATCGCAGCCTATATCACAAGAAGATATCATAGTCGAACACCCTGACGATATATCCAGCCCTTCATCGATCGGTTCGCTGGAGGCCATTGAGCGTGTTGAAGAGGATCTGAATCGAAACGAAAATACAAGGGCAACGGGTTATATGGGCAAGAATTCCGAAGTGACGTGGATGCAGAGATTGCGAAGAGAGGCAGAACAACGAGCGAAGAAGGAACCAGGCACTTACGAGCCCGATCCTGATAATGAAAGCGAATACGCCCTTCATGCCGGCAATTACCATTTGGACGATATGGAAGTTTCGATCCCTGGTCCGGTTCAGGTTTACGAGGTACCACCGCGGCCGCTGGCGGACAAGCTTTTCGAAGATTATCTGGCGTCGGTTCATCCCTTCTTCCCGATTATTAGCCGCCCATTGTTCAGCATGCAGTATCAATCATTTTATGACAATTCCGGGCGCCCAGGAGATAAGTGGTTGGCTATCCTGAACGTGATATTCGCGATAAGTGCCAAGAGAGCTCATCTCAAACAAGCGCCGGGGCAAGGTGAAGAACACGACCACTTGGTGTATTTGACTCGGGCTCGGATCCTGAGTATGAATGGTGATGTGCTGTTCAGTCATCCAGACCTTCAGCAAATCCAAGTGGAAGGTTTGATAGCGTTTTATTTAATCTCATCCGATCAGGTCAACAGGTGAGTTTTAGGTCTCCCTAGGCTCGTTCATTCCTCAAAACTGACCCCTTCTTAGAGCTTGGAGGATCGCAGCATTGGCGATTCGTTCCGCGATTACCCTCGGCATCAACATGAAAAACACCAGCGATTTTACGGCCAGCATCTCCAAGGAATCGCGCAATCGAGTTTGGTGGTGTTTATACACCCTCGAGCATCTACTAGGGATAATGACCGGCCGGGCGACATGCATTTTGGATGGCGTCTGCACGACTCCACTGCCTCTCCCGTTTGAGGGGGATCAGCTACAGGAGCCACTGGCAGCCAAACTTCTTAACGACCTGAGTCTACGCGAAGATTTTGTAGGAAATGCTATTGCGAGTTCTTTTATTCACCAAATATCCTCGAATCCTCCTGGGGGCAAGGATGCTAAATATACCGATACACCCCGAGATGTGACTTGGTTGAAGAGCCTGCCTCCTAACAATGCGCTTTGCTTCCTTTACTATGCCGACTTGGCGGTCATCTCCCAAGAGATTGTCAATCGAGTTTATTCACCCGACTGCGCCATGGTGCCGTGGGCACACATTGAGAATCGGATTGGAGTGTTGAGGTCACGGCTCGACCTCTGGTTTGCGGGTCTTCACCCAAAATTCGATTTTACGCGCAAAGACGACGAAGGGCCCGATTTACTTCGGGCCAAACTGTTTTTGGCTTTTCATTTCTACAGCTCCCGGATTACGCTCGGGCGTCCGTGCCTTTGCCGTCGCGGTGCGCACCAAAGTGGTCAAGGCAATGGGAAGCCAGCATTTAGTCACGTCATGGCTATGATATCCCTGGATTCTGCTAGTAAGATGTTGGATTTGATTCCGGACCAGGCGGATGCGATTCAACTGTACGAAATAGGGCCTTGGTGGTGCGTACTGCACTGTCTTGTGCAGGCTGTGACAGTCCTCTTGCTTGAGTTGTCGTTTGGAAGCATCCATATTCCCGAAGAGGAGCAGAACATCCTCACAATGGCGAAGAAGGGGATTCACTGGCTCCACTCCATGTCTGAATTTAGCACTGCGTCGCGTCGCGCATGGCAGTTGTGCGATATGAACCTGCGGAAGATTGCCCAGGGAATGGATTACGATGTAAGCCATATGCCAACCTTCGACTTCGGTGCAGGTGAGGTGATCAACGGCCATAAGGATCAGCTGAACGATTTCTTCAAAACTAACGGCATCGACAAAGCCGCCCATCAAAATAACGGGCAGTTGCCGGATAGACCGGATTTGCCGCCTGGTGCGGCGGATTCTACGATTATGCCTGATGGTGTAGGCCCGGCTCCTGGCATTGGGCTTGATGGGACTGATGTCTTTTTCCCATATGATCCGATCAATGGGGAGTTTGTTCGATCTTATTTCCCGACTTTTTATACGGATGAGAATCAGGATGAGTGGGGTTTCTAACCGCCAACATCTGTATCAGTATTTTTTAGGTTTGTTTCTTTACTGCCCGGTCCTGGTGACCAGGTCCTTTCTTTCTTTGCTACTTTTAAAGGGATGTTATACACTTTTTCTACACAGGCACATATACACGGTATTGTCCGTTGCGTGTCTCATTTTCTTTGTTACAGGGAACCAGGAATGGATAGACGGATATGGGACTATCGGTTGGACGGTAATTCAGGCGCGTTTTGGTATATGATCTGTATGTTTGTATTTACTTTGAGATACCTGATGATTCGATGAATGCAATTACCAATACGAGTATATAAGAATGCAGAAGTAAAAGTAAAAGTTACTGGTATCATGTCTAAACAAACAAAAAATCTAGCCAACCCTTATACACATATTCATACAAACAAACATACATACACCAACACCATGAATCATCATACATCAGCATCAGCATAAACTCACCGCTCATCCATCAACCTCTGCGCCTCCACAAACCCCCTAATCCTCTCCTTCTCCCTCTCCCTCTCCGCGACCTCCTCGCGATGCCTAACCCTCTCCCTCGTCCTCATCCTCTTCAAATGATCAAACACCTCCCGATTAATCTCCTCCTCCGGCAACCGCAGCACCTGGAACTGCCGCACACACCACTCCATGATCTTTTCTATCTCACGCTTCGTTGCCTGGTTTGAGGGGGAGTCGGGGAGTGCAGATCCCGAGGAGGGCAAGGAGTGTCCTGCGGCTAGTGCGTCGACGGCAGCGAGTTCGAGACTTGTTAGGTACTGTGTGAAATGCGCGTATTCCTTCGCTGCGCCTTGTGCGATGACGCGGACGGTGTTGAGGTTCGGCGAGACGACTTTCTCGTTTAACTGTTTTCGCCAGGGCGCGTTGAAATTCGGATCGCCGCGGCGGTGGTCCCGCTCGAAGGTCTCGTATAGTCGCCAGATACCGCCTTCGTGGTAGCGGGTGTGTTTTGGGGACTGCGAGGGTTCGAGACACCATTTGTCCCAGAGGGATTTGGCGGCTGCGCTGCCTTGGGTGTCGACAACGGCGGAGAGGAGGTAGTGGAAGGCGATTGGGGAGATGAAGGGGGTTGAGTGGCGGGAGCGGGGGTTTTGGTGTTGGTGGGTGTGGAAGGTGGATTGGGCGGCGATGTCGGCGAGGGGGCCTGGGAGGGAGAGGAAGATGCGGTAGATGGAGCGGAGGGTGCGGAGTTGGGCTTTGTTTCCTGTGCGTTGGCTGAGGTCGTTGAAGTCGCCGTTTAGGATGCGGGTGAGGATGGTTTTTGCTTTGTGGAGGGATTGGAGTTTTTCGTCGGGGGTTGCATGGTTAGAGGGTTTGTGGAGGGTGCGTTCCATGCGTAGGATGCTGCCGGCTAGGAGCATGATGTTGCCGTGGCCCCAGGATTTGAGGCGGTGGTTGCGGATGTATTCGAGCATGAGGGTGACGCGGTCCCAGTCGCCTGTTAGGATGCGGAAGCTGACGAGGGCTCGGAGGGTGTTTAGGGAGTAGGGTTGGGATAGTGAGGAGACGACTTGTTTTTGGAGTCCGATGTTTCCTGTGGCACCTGCGTAGCGGAGGAGGGAGGGTGCGAGGGTCTGGTTTCCGTATTCGCTGCGTCGGATTGGCGGGCCGTCTAGGTCGTTGGAGAAGAGGAGCCAGTTGGCGAAAGGGTATGCTTTGGTTATTGTCGCGAGGTCCACTAGCTGCGCGTATGTTACGTTGGACACCTGCGGGATTGATGTCTCTGGCTTTCCATGTTCGAGTTCGCGAGTGCGCTTGTCTGCCACAGGGATATCGTCAGGGTCGGATTGCTTAAGCCGTTTTAAGAACTCCTGGATATGTCGTGATTTGCTTGTATCGATAGCTTCTTGCAAGAAGCCAAAAGAGCTAAAAGCCAGTCCCGCTTGGCGTTGAACAGCATATGACCTGACAACGTATTCTGTCAGGCCGCGAAACGCACAAGTCTCCTCATATAACTGCGACGGAGTCAACCACTCCAGGTCCCCTTCACCTTCAACAACTAGAGATCCATCGTTCCATGGGCCAACCACATGGGGGCTACTGCGTAGGAACTTTCCCGTCGAATGAGGGTCTGCATTAATGTCTAATCCAGCGGATTGAAGGACGCGGGCAGTGAGCCAGTTGTGTTCCTTGGTAGTTGGCTGCAGTTCTTTCGTCGACTCAGGAGCTTCGACTAGCGCATCGACACGAGAAATAACCTCCGACAGCTCAGTGGGTGATAACCCACGGTAACCCAATCCCCGGTACACAAAGTTGACAAAACAGTCTCGCAACGATGCGGCAACCTCAGTGCTAATCGTCCGTTTCGCCAGGCCGTGGAAAATAGTGTTGCGCTTCTGTCCCGTTTGTTGTTGAACGGGGGCATCATCGCCAGGACGGCGCCAGAACTGTTCCGTGTCAATGCTAGTATTTTCGACAACGGCCGCGCCTCCGTCGCGCAGAAGAGGCTCCCAGCTCTGAAAGCTCCAGGCCAGATCATCCGTGCGCGCTTTCATCTGCTCTAATAACCATAGCCCTTCCCTGACATAGCCATGCTCAATACAGCACCACAGTATAAGCTCCAGCCATATCTCTGGCCCTAGGTCTCGTATACCCATTTTGAACGGGACATATGGAGATTTCACGCCCATCTCGGCCGCTTTGGCCGCAACTTCCGCTTCGTGGACCCCCCAAGCCGTCTCCGACAGAACATTCATGATATGGGTTGATAGCAAATGCATCCCTGGAGGCCGATACGTCGCCAGGTTGGGATCTGGGTTCGCACATTTGTAGATGTTGTCCGATATGGCGCCGGAATGGTGCAAACGGGCCAAGGTACGGAAGACAAAGGACATGCCCAACTTCAACTCATCGGGAGATCGATCCGCTGCCTGTAAAACAATAGAACCTAAGCTCTGCCACACCTGTGACATAAGAAGCTCTGAAAAATCATTTGCAAATGACCGCTGTGTCAAATCTCTAAAAGTTGGTGTTTTCGATTCAGGGCTTTTCTTGACCTTAACATTCGTCAGCAATGGAGCATGCCTTGTAAGTCTCTCCAAAGTAAAGCCGGCATCAGAGCCCCAATCCAGACTTGACAGAGACACCCGAGTTGGATGCCGGGTACCATCCGCCGCATCCAGCAACACATTCAACAAATTGTGTACATCAGACCACCGGTTCAACCCATATCCAAGATGACTCAGAAGATCGAGTTTGCCGTAAAACCTCGCATAGGACAAGATTGTAGCTAGTCCATGGGCTCGCGCGTACAAATCCTCGGTTTCGTCCTCGCGCAACGACGGCGTAAGGTACTTATCCAGCGACGGAATCCAAGAATTCGGGTCCTTCTGCTGCTTTATCCCATATACTGGACACTTCGGCGGCATACCCGTCACATAACTCTCGAATAGCTTGCTGTGCTTCGCAGCACTAGCAGCGCTGGCGGAAAACGGGCGACTCCATTGTCGCCGGCTCGAAGGCCCCCCGTCGAGGGGGGAACGTAACCGGTTCTGGAAAACGAAGGCAGGGCGGTGTAGCGAGCAGGAGGTCCTGCGGCTTCGACAAAGCAGTTGTCTTGGGCAGAGGCACCTTTTCATGACACGGCGGGGGAGGATCTAGCGGACGAGCGAGACCGGCGGGAAAGGAATCGAGATGATCGATGGAATCGGGGAGAACGGGGAGGTCTGTGGCGCATATCCCATTATTCATCGGCACCGCATAGCTCTCGGACTGCACAGAATGACAATGGCCTTGCTGTTGCGTTGGTGAACTGGTCGTCGGAGTTCCAAAAGATTTCATCGCTTTCCGCGACCAAAAGTTTTGCTTAGTCATCTAGGTCTAGCCAATCACAATGAAGACAATGGAATTGTATATCAAGAGTCTAACCGGATCTATCTGGGAATTCGATGCTTGATTTTCTTTGGTATTCAAAAAGTATTGTCCATTAAAACAACAGGATCTATCAAAGAAACATAACATAGCATGGACCAGCACACTATTTACCGATCCAGCAGTCTAACCAACAACCATCCATCCTTATCCTTCACTTCATTTAGACATCAACCGGCTTAATCTGACGGGCATGGATACGCTCGGATCCTTTGGCCGGAGGAGTTGGGCCACCTTTGGCCGAGCTCGAAGGTGTCTCGCTGCAGAGAGGAAGACTAGACGAAGCACTAAGTGAAGCACTAAGCGAAGCACTAAGCGAAGCACTAAGCGAAGGCCCGCCAGTCATGGAGGCACGAGGCAAGCAGGAAGGAGTAGAGGTGCCCGAGGGCTGCGATGATGTTAGCTAACTATGCTATTTCCTTTCCTTCATACATTGCTGGAGCAATCTTACCTTCGGGGCAGACGAAGAACTACTCTCAGCAGTGACGGAAGGGACGAGGCAAAGAGCAGCGGCTCCTAGAACAGCGAAAGTCTTCATGGTGATGCGATTCGAAAAGGACTGGTGGGAGAATGCAAGGGGAGTGATCAAGGTAGTTTTTGTAGAATAGATCTGTGGATGAAAAGACAATGATCCCTCGAGCTTGAGGGACGGACTGCTATATATCGACCATAGGGCCATCTACACGCGTACGCCACGAGCTTGCATTAACCATGAGTTGTTTCGAATATTGGTCCAGAACAAGAGCACTCTATCCACCGAGGCAAGATTTACAGCCTGAATTTCCCCAAGGGGAAGTCAAAGATACGAGATCGGAGTGTCCCTGACATAAGCTTGAGCTTGCGTGGTCGAGATAGCCGGTTAGAAAGCGTCTAATTTGACAACCCAGAGGCAAACTGCTGGGTCAACCCTGAGTCCAGACCATTAGGAGCAATTCTTCTGTCGATCGATTTGCGTGGACGAACATGAGGGTGGCAATAGCGCGGAACCATGGAAGAGATATCCAGGGATGCAGAAGACAAATCGTGCAAACAGTTTATTAACAGTGAAAGTTCAAATGGTATCAATTATCAAATACAAATCCAATATTGACCAGAGCGCCAGAGAGAATATCAACCGGAAGAGACCAAAGACCAGGAAGTAGTAGCCGAAAACACCCATGCTCCTTCGCACCATAGGAAACCCGCCTAGAGAGCACCTCTATACAACCAATGCAGGAAAATAGCAGAACTGGAACGGATCGTGATTCGTGAAAAGACCGGGAATACCAAACAGAAGGCAAAAATATCGTCGTATCAGTCGCATTCACTCGTCAAAGTCCATCTCATCGGCTGGTTGTAGGTCTCCGCCAAGTTCTTGTTCCACTTCGTCGACCACGAAACTCTCGTAGTCTTCCAGACCCTTCTGGACATGAACCTTGAATCGGATGACGTCGTTCAACATGCTCTCCACATTCGTGTGCAGTTCCTCTCGGAGGGCATTGGCTCGCAGCGTTAGTTGTTCGTACTCGATGTTGGTGTTCATCTCGCGCTGTTCCATCAATTGCACACTTTCGCTCAATGTGGCCCGCATCTTGGCCAGCTCCTTCTCCATCTTCTCAATTTGCGCATCCGATGCGAGCTTCTGTGTGGTTGTAATCTCCTTGGTGCGTTCGAATTCCTCTTCGGCGGCGCGTCGCCTGTGTTCAAGAGCCTCGACCTCGCTGCGCTTCTCATCCATGGCCTCCTTGATGTTGTCCAGCAGGTTCCGTCGCTCCATATCATCATCGATGGCATTCTTGCGGCGTTCGTTGATCTCCTTACGCAGGTTCTGCAGGTTGCTACGGATGATTCCCCGGAGGTCCAGGTTCAGCAAGTGTGCCGGGTGGTAGCCGGTGAACGGGTCTGCCAGCAGTCGATCGCCTTCGGTCGATATCCGGTTTCCGCCGCCGATTTGAGACGCAGAGAAACTGTTCTCATTGACATTGAGACTGAGTTCAAACTCAACTCCCTTTGCGTTTACGGCGGACGAGGGAATCAAGCTTGTCTGGTAGCCAAGAGTATTGTAGGCCTTGACAATTTCCTCCAGATCCTCAAGCTTTTGACTGGCTTCGGCTTCCTTTTCCATGATCCGCGCATTTCCTTCTTCCAGCCGGACCATCGTATCATCAAGACTCCTCTGGAGCCGCTCCCGTTCCGTATTCATCCGGTCAATATCCTGGGTGGTGATACCTTGCCGGTCAACACTGGCTTGGAGACCAATACGCTCCTCTTCTGCCGCCTGCAGCTCCGTGTCGGTCTTTTTCACTTCCTCGTCAAGAAAATTGATACGCGTCTCATATTTCTCGATCTTTCCCTGCACGTTCTGAATGTAGTCCTCGAACTTTCTCTTGTCGTCCTCCAAAATTCGGAAATGCTTGTCCAACTTGGCCATATCCGGCGCGCTCTTCTCCATCTCCTCAATTTGATCGCGTAGAGATCGGTTTTCCGTTTCCAATGCCTGCATTTCTTGAACATACTTCTCGTTGCCCCTCTCGAATTCTTCGGACATGGATTCTACATGAGGAACCAGTCTTTGCCCGGCGGTTTCATCGTCCTCTTCCTCCCCGCCCTGTAACCAGTCATGGTAAGCGCCTGTCAAAAAGCGGAAGATTATGCGGTCCCCAGAAACGTCCACACCAGCCTCCGCACAAGCTTCATCATAATCGCCCAGAATGAACCTGTCCATCATTTGCGCCAACTGCATCAGCCAATGCAACATCGCCAAAAATGTCGGCCAGTTCTGACCACCAACAGCGGTAATCTGTGATTTTGTGATGCCCTTTTCATAAGGATACCGCAGTTGTTTTAAAATCGGTGGCACCTCCGCGTCCATACTCTTCATAAACCTATATCCGGGATCAACCCGATGGTACAGCCATTGGAAAATGTAGTTGAAATCTTTCTGAGTCGGCGAACGGAGCGTGTTTTGTCCCAACGAGTGCTTCATCTCCAATTCAAAATTGTTTTGGGTCAAGTATTCCAAAAGCTCCTGCCCAATGCGTGCCTGGAAAGATCTGTCTCTAATCGGTCGCGGGTCCCTTGGCACACCGGCCACCGAAGGAGTCTGAGTAAAGAACGACTGGTGACCCATCGGACCGCCCGTAGACGGTCGCGAAAAGACGCTGCTCCTCCGCTGTAGACTTTGAGAAGCCGATGACGACATAGGTTGCCCTGGGGCAAAGCTGGGACGTCCGACACTGGGGCCATGGAACATGTTACTCGACACGGATCGCCTAACGGAGGAAAGACCGGCATCGGCACCAAATGCCCCCCCTGACGAGGAACGTGTAAAGTTAGGTTGCGATGGTCGACTGGCAGAATTCACCAACGACATGCGCGTATGCTGGGAGGTGAAGGGAGCGTTGAATCCGCCAATGGAACTGGTGCGCTTCAGGGCCGACGAGGGTTGAGGGAGCGCTGAATAATTCTGGACGCTCCCCAGAGTCTGCATCATTGATAAGTGTTAGTTGACGTTGATATTGAATCATAATTTTTGCAAGCTTTAAGCCGTAAGGGGGAGGTGAATGAGGGGATCGGATACCTCGCGGGGCCGCTTGATGCTAAACAGCCCGGTGTCCTGCGACATGGTGACAAGGAAGCCGCAACGGCGGCCTTTGTGAGATAACCAAAGAGTCAAAAAAGGACGCAAAAAGGTTGTAAAACAATGTCGCAAAAGGGCGACGACTGAGCCGTATATCCTGCTTTCCAACAACAGGCACTCCTAAAGCAGCGCGGGGTCTGGCGTCCGTTTGGGCGAGAAAAATCAAAGAAAACAAAGTGAAGTCGGAGATGTAAACAGACCGAGAACGGCAGGCGGTAGCCTGTATCCCACGTGATTTAAATCAGGTGATCTTTATCACATGACTCTGGGGAAGCTGTACCGATACGGCAATAGTACCGTAACGTGACCGCAACGCAAGTTCCGAGGTCCAATCGCCAGCCAGCCGTCGCCGACAGCGACTCGTCCGTCTCCGTCTCCGTCGCCTCTCGTGTTATCTTTCTCTCTCTCTCTCTCTCTCTCTCTCTCTCTCTCTCCCCCCTTTTCCCTCAAATAACTCATTCTTCCTCCAAGAAGTAAGGAGGATATCTTACCATCATGGCTCGTGAGGAGCTCATTTCCTCTGCTGTAAGTTCCCCTTCTCTTACATTCACCGCTTGAACTATTGGCACTGACAGACATATCCGGCTAGGTCACATGTATGTTGATTGTTTGCACTATCCACGGTCTTGCAATAACGTGATTCTGACCTCTATACAGTCCTCCAGGATCCGTCGGTAGCTTCCTCGCCGATCGAGAAAAGAGTCGCATTCCTTCAGTCGAAGAACTTGACGCAGGAGGAAGTTGATCTCGCGCTTTCTCAGGCAGGTCAAGACCCGTCCGCAGCAGCATCAGCTGTAACAACAACGTCTTCATCGCAAGGACATACTCCACAACAAGCCGTCTACCGGCCCCCTCCTCCTACACAAGGATATGGCTATCCTCCGTATCAATGGCAGCCTCCACCGCCAGAGTGCGTTTATTTATACTCTCGTCCGAGTCGCGAATCGGGACCCTGGGTGCTAACATTGTGTTTCTTGTTAGGCCCCCGAAGAGAGACTGGCGTGATTGGTTTATTATGGCCACAGTAATGGGCGGTGTAGGGTACGGTCTATATACTGTCGCCAAGGTATTTTCGACCTATCTCACATGTGCTTGGCATCATACTAACTTGTTTATTTTAGCGATATGTCAGTCCTCTTGTTGCACCACCTACGCCTCCACAGCTTGAGCAGGATAAAAAGAATGTCGATGAAGAGTTTGCCCGCGCCTTTACCCTGATCGAGCAACTCTCGACGGATACTGCGGCGCTCAAGTCCGCTGAAGAAACACGCACAGAGCGCTTGGATACTACACTGAGGGATGTTGAGAGTTTGGTTGGAGACTTGAAGAGCGCATCGCGTCGGAGGGACGACGAAACCCGCCGGATCAACGACGAGGTCAAGACTCTGAAGGATGCCATTCCCAAGGCGCTTCAGGGCGCGCGCGAAGGCAACGAGCAGCGGTTGAAGGAGCTTGGCACAGAACTGAAGAGTCTGAAGGTGCTGCTGGGCAACCGCATTGGTGGTGGTGCCGGCGGTGCTAGCTCTCCAGTTGCTGGAAGAACAGTAGGCACTAACCTGCCTGTTGCATCTCCTCGCCCAGCGGAGGAACAACCAACCACTCCTCCCCCTACCACCAACGGCGCGACAGCTCCCGCTACCAGTGTACCTGAATCGCAGCAGCCGCAGCAGCCGCAGCAGCCACAGCAACCACCGGCTGCTAAGAGCCCTAGCCCTCTTTCGCAACTTGGGAGGTCTGCTTCTATTCCCGCCTGGCAGATGGCGGCAGCGAATCGGTCGAAGCCATCTAACCCTGGCGCCACTGAAGAAGGTAACACTGCCAGCAACGCCACCAACACCGCTGAGCAGCAGCCGCAGCAAGAACAGAGTGCTCCGGCTAGCTAGAAGGCTTTGTATATCTCATATAATCTTTTCTTTTTCGTTGGCGTAATTTGTTCCATTCTCAGTGTATTTACAAGGCGAAGCATGTATGCAATTGAGTCATGATAATAATTCCATCAATACTCATGTTCCTCGAAAGTCAATCAACTTTGTACCTCTAGGCCCTTCAAAGTCAAAGATACCTCGGATACCGCGGGTTAGTTACTCCGGCCTCCGTCCGCCCTATCAGCAAGGAGCTTGGCGTCATCGACGTCAATCCATCACCAACCAAAAAGCTACAATACAACAAACAACAAAAAGAACTCGCATCCAAATCTGCACCCAATGGACCCCCACGCCCGTCCCCGAGACTACCGTCACCGAAACCGAGACACCCACACGCAATCGCGCTCCCGCTCTCGCTCCCCAGACCGAAACCACCGTCACCACCGTCGCCATAGACACGATCGTCACCATCGCGATCGCCATCATCGCAGCACTCGCGATGACCGGGAGCGTGACCACGACCGTCGCGAACGTCGCGATCACCGTCCAGCGACAGCAACAACACCAAAGCCACCGAGCGAACAGATACTCCTCCCCTTCAACACCCGCGGACTCTCAAGACATGACCTCTCCGCATACGAGCCCATGTTCGCAATGTACCTTGATATCCAGAAGGGGAAGTGGATAGACGATATGGATGAAGAGGAGGTTAAGGGGCGGTGGAAGAGCTTTGTGCGGAAATGGTGAGCATTTATTACCTTTATCTGTCGCAGGATATATGTTTGAAGGGAAGAAAGAGGCTGATATATCAGGAACCGTGGAGAACTTGCCCGAGGATGGTACGATCCGAGTACCCTGGACAAAGCCCGTGAAGGTGCATCAGAAAGCCATCGTCCCCCGGCATCGTCTGCTGGGAAACGTGCATCTCCTGATTACGAAGGGGCTGGTACTGGAAAGGATAGGATGGACGAGGTTGATGATGACGACGAGGAGGATGATGAAGAGGACTACGGTCCGAATCTCCCATCAGGACTACAGATTACCAAACCCGGTGGTCCGTCCTCTGGTCCAACAATTCCTAACATGCAAGATTTGGACTTCCGGAAAGGTAGGGTCTTCTTTTTTTTTTTTTTTTTTTTTTTTTTCCCTCTGTCAAACTTCCCCATGCTAACATACCCTTCCCAGAATCCGCAATCGAAGACGCCATCGAAGCCCGCCATGATGCCCGAAAACAACACCGCGCCGAAGTACACTCGCACAAATCCGAAATGCGCCAGGTAGAAGACGAAGTCGCCCCAAGAGCCGAACCAGGCACGCATGAACGCCGCATGCAAAAACGCCAAGAAGCATCTGCTTCGAATCGCGCGTTTTCTGATGGCCGTCGGGGTGGTTCGCCTGGGGAGGCTGCTCCTGAGGAGATGCTGATGGGTTCGGGCGAGAATGATTTGACGGAAATGAAGAAGGAACAGGAAAAAATGCAGCGAAAGAAAAATGAACGCGAGATTAGGAGAGAAGAGATTATGCGGGCGCGCGCTGCAGAGCGAGAAGAAAGAGTCCAGCAGTATCGACAAAAGGAGGAAGAAACCATCGGCTGGCTCAAAACCCTGGCAAAACAGAGGTTCGGTTGATCAACTCAGAAGATATCTCATCTCGATGGTCTATGGTTCCTTTGCATTCATTAAGTCAAACCCCCTATGTTGCCAGTATAGAACACAGCTAAGTTGACAGAAGATCAATCTCAACGGATATCTGTTGGATAAGTCACTGAATTTCATTTAATATACACTGCTAAAATACAATAAGAAGCATAATAGGTATTCCGTAATTACCGATTCTCTGGCTTTCAATCCATCCAATACACGACACTTACTGCTCATAAGTCTCGGCCATTAGTCCTATACCAATAGGTTCGCTTTCGGTACGCTCCCTGCGAAGAATAGGCCACCTCTTTGACCCCATCTTCTTTCGTGCCTTCTTTGGGTATGCAAAAACCACTTCGTTGCTTGATTGCCGCAAGACCGAGGAAGCCTGTCTACTGCCGTCACGACGCGTTCGCTTCGAGCCCTTCCCATTCTCCACGGAATAGCCTGTCGAACTGTCGTTTCCAATAGTCATACCAGAAGTTTCTCGCATGTTTTCTGTATCAGCCAAACAATTTTCTGCGTCGGAATCGTCTGCGCTTTTTTTCAGGGCTGCTCGCTGTGAAAGAGGAACGAACTCCGGCGCATCCGGCTTCAGAGGGCTCTTTCTCCAAAGTTCGTTATTGACGTCCCTAGTTTTTTCTTTTGTGTCAGGTGACCCGGGCGTCTTGTAGGATCTCATGCGGCGCATCTTGGACACTGTGAGGATTGGCCCAGTCACTGTTACAGATCGAGAGTCATCCATCTCTATGAGGTCGCCCATTTCTTGAGTAGCCACTTTTCCTTTTGCGGATTCTTCTGTTGCTCTTTGCCCTTGCTCTGGGCCTGCACTTTCGATCATGACCGGGGGCAGTTTTTCTTTTATCTTCCGCGACAAAAGACGACGATAGTAGCCGTTTGTTCTCAATAATGAGCTGTGAGAACCTTGTTCGACAACGCGGCCATGACGAAGGACGATAACATTGTCTGCTTTAGAGACCGTCGAAAGACGATGTCTGCGATGAAGTGTTAGTATTGAAGGGGGTGAATATTCAGTAGGAGTCAGCCATACGAAGTGATGAGTATTGTCTTCCCTCTCCACAGTCGCTTGAAGTTTCTCTGGATCAGGGCTTCCGTACTGCTATCCACACTACTTGTCGCGCCATCCAAGAGGATAATCTTGGGGTTTTGGACCATCACTCGTGCAATCGCGAGTCGCTGAAGCTCTCCGCCAGACAATTTTACACCGTCGTCTCCGATTATGGTATGATAACCATCCCCAAGCGACACAAATCTGTCGTGAAGGGCCACAGCTTTGCACGCATCATACACCTGTCCCTCAGTAGCAAAAACATTCCCATACATGACATTGTTCATGATCGTATCGTGGAATAGAACTGGATCTTGTGGCACAATACCAATACTCGAACGCAGACTCTCCAGCGAGGCATGGCGAACATCTTGTCCACCGATTCTGATATTTCCTTGAAGTGGATCGTACAAGCGCAAAAGGAGACCTAGGGCAGTCGACTTGCCACTTCCAGTCGCCCCCGCGAGAGCCACCGTCTGGCCGGCTTGGACCTGAAAACTGACCCCTTTTAGCGCTCTCTTTTGCCCCATATATGCAAAATGGACGTCATCGAATTCGATGACACCTTGGTCGCAACGTAATGGAGCTGCTGCAACATGGTTGGGAGCATTCGAAGCCCTACCGAACAGTTTGAGCAGATCATCAATATCTGCAAGGCCTAAGAGGACGTCACGGACCCCTCTCACAAAGATCTGAAGATGCAGACTCAGACGCGTCAAGTACATCAGCAGCATAATAAAACTGCCGAGCGATTTGACTCCCCAGCTAACTTGGAAAGCCGCCAGCACACCACCTCCCATAAGCCCTGGTACGGCGATGGCCGACTGCAACGCCGAATCAAAGCAAAACCATAATGAGAGCCTGGATGATGAATTCAAATGGTCCCTGACGGCTAAAGAGTATCGTGTTTCGTCATACGGGATGCGGTTAGAATATAGCGCGGTCTGCCAACTCGACGTCCAATCTCGGAGAATATGTTGCTCTCTGTCCATGTCATTAATAAAGCGCCTCTGTTTGCCCTGTAACTTGCGATGTATCTCTCTGGATGACCAGATAGAAAGAGCCACCACTGTCGCAAGGACCAGCGCCATATAGGCGCCGTATATATAGTACAGCACGCATATGCCCACCAGAAGATCGATCGCTGTCGGGATGATGTGGGAAAAAATAGCACGGAAGACATATCGGGCGGATAGTCCACGATTGACGGATCCCCAAAGTCTCTCCAGGCTTCTCTTCCTGTTAAGATCACATGCCAGTGTCGTAGCCTTGTCAAAGGCAGCCTTGCTAAGCACGGAGTACGAGTGATTCTCGATGGCCATCCACAGATACTTCTGCGCAACGGCAGAACTTTTGCTGAACTTCAAGACACAAATGAAGATAGTCATGATAATATCCCCATTAGAGAATGTTCCTGTTCAACAAGTCAGAATGGAGTCGAATAGAGAAAATATTGAAACAAATAAGAAGGCCGTGTCCCTCAGGATACAGTCCCTTAGGTGCCTCTTCAGATGAACGTACCGCTACGAGTCAGTGCATCCGTTACTTTGCCCAGCTGCAAAGGGACGAGCACAAGGAGGACACGATCAATCAGTAAGCATAGCCAAATCCCGAAATAACGGAGATATGGTCGGCTACTGGGCCAAAAGAACGGCGCGAGAAACTTGTCAACTGTCAGCTTTCTTCTTTTCAAGGCCGTGTAATTGGATAGCACATACCGTGATCCGGCGAGTAAAATATTCCAAGCCACCCTGATCGTCTCTTCCCTGAGGATGACGAACAGGACTCCGAGAAATTGTACCGTAGGGGTAGGCATCATCTGGGTTGCGAGTTCGATCGTCTCGGAGCAAAGGCACCCGTTCTTCGTCAACAGGCCTGCAACGGGTAGGAATTGCTTGTGATATGGCCACGATGCCGACGAGTAATATAAGTGTTACCAAGCGGAATATTCGAACGACGTTGAGGATGGTCACTGGTATCACTGAGGGCGAACGAAACGCAAGCAGAAGGGCCTCTGCAACTAGGTAGATCGCTGAACACCCTCCAAGAGGGTACCATAAAGCCTGTGACTTGTAAAACCAATTGAAGTCGAGAAGCAATATGAACCAAGAGAACGATGAACTAAAGGAGTACATCTGGGGACAGGGAGAACCAATTAGTATCAAAGCCTTAGACAACATTCCAAGAGGATATCATTCTCACGATCTCGTCCAACGACCCCATAGCCCTGCCCGGATAGGTCAGGTAGAATAGCACGGCGGTCTCGAATACCTGTAAAAGACCAATATATTAGTCTCCAGTGTCAACCCCATTCCAAGCATGCCAATCCAACTTACATATGCGACAAGAATGGCAAAAACCGGCCACAAGACAGCAGCTCGAGACGGTCTTCGTCTGACCTCTTCCTGTCTGTCCCTGCGGAAAGCCAGTATGGCTGCAGAAACCAGGTAGAAGAGACCAGCGACGAGGGGGACGAAGCCATGAATGACATCGACTGCTCGAAGAGCTGGTGACTTTGTTGAGCTGAAGTCGATCATTTTTGCCATCATGTTGGCAGACGAGTCCGTTGAGTGCAATCGATACGCCCAGTATGCGCTGCTCTGTTCAATGCAAGTAACAAGAAACCGATAAGGGATGTACGTGGACAGAAAAGCGATGCGTATGTGAGTATAGAGAAAGAAGAGAGAAAAAGAGATGGGATGAATGGAAAGAAGAGAGGAAGTCCGCTGCACTGCTAAAAAGAGAAAGCACGACTAAATAGCCCGAAAGGGAAAGAACCACCTCAGAGAGGGAAAACCAGAACTTTTGAAGTCTATCTATTATATACTAAACAAGAACAAATCAATACTTTTTTTATGATGCTAAAAATTCCTTCCCAGGTCCAGATTAGCCACCAGCTTCATATGCTCGCTCCCATTCGCAGACTCCTCTCCCAACCCAAAGAACGGCTTCACAGCAACATCCACCGTCTCCTCGAACAAACGCCCGACGACAGCTTCCTTGAGCTCCTCGCCAGTCTGCGCAAAATCCGGATACGCGTTCAATTCCAACAACCAAACAGTTCCAGTCTCATCGACCATAAAGTCGACTCCGAATAACTCGAAAGCGTTGGGGAGAGTCTGGAAGTGAACCATCATGCCTCTAGCTGCAGCTTCGAAGACTTCGCCCGTAACGCCACAGATCTGGTCAAAGACCTTCTCTTTCCAGTCCGCGCTGAGTCCAAAGACCTCAGACTCGAGCTTCCAGAATCGTCGCACGCTTCCTTCGTTGGCGCTGCCTCCTTCCTGGAAACAGGTGTTGCTCAGGTGCCGGGCGAGATCGATCACTTCGTCCTCGGCCTCCCATGGGGGAGAGTATGATTTGGCGGCGAATAGGGCCAGCATTTCCTTAAAGACGTAGACTTTCAGGGCGCCCACGGCGAGGACGTATGTGCGGATGTGGAACTTGCGGTTAGAGGAGGATGGTAGGAGGAGCGGAGGATCGATGTAAGGCTGGGCGATGAAATGGCGTAGTTGAGAGGTGACCACACCTTGGTCTCCAGACTTTCCTTCCTCCTCATCTTCAGGCTGTTCAGGCGTAGATCCAGAATCACTCTCGATGTCAGATTCATCGACCTCCCACCCCTCGAAAATCTCACGTAATTGATCCTCGCTGTTGAACAGGCGGATTCCCTGTCCGCGATCACTCATTCCGGGCTTAAGAATCCACCATTCCTTTTCAGAGTCGGGTCTCTCTTCATTCTTCTCCAAGCTGTCACGCAGCTCGTAAGCCTCCAACAATGCATCATCGAGGAACTCAGCATAGTCCAACTCAAAGTCAAAGCCAAATTTGAAGTGGTTTCGTAGGAGACTGTTCGGGTGCTTCGAAACCCAGCTGGACACCGTGTTTGACAAGTAATGCTTGCGAATAAGCGCTTTTC